ACATACTTGTGAAACCATCACTGTAATCAAGATAATGAACCTCACACCCCACCTCCCTTACTGCAAAGTTTCCTGATGCCCCTTTTGTAATCTCTCCCTCATGCTCCTCCCCACCTCCCATCTCTGAGTAACCCTGGCCTGCTTAATTTTGAGGGCTTGAAAGGCCTAATAGTCACTTTCAGAGATTCTTTCTTTGAAATCTCTCTCTCAGAGAGCAACTCTAGCAGAGGCAAAAAGGACAACAGTTGTGATATCGTTGTGCTTGGGTTCAAAGTTCCTCTCGAATCTAGTCTCACTTAATGATTGATTCTTCCTTGCATGTCCAAAAAAACAGACCATCATCTACCACATTTACCTTTTAAGACTGTGTTTTCCTGTTAATTGAACATAATGTCACGGTCGTCTTATTTTCAGTCAGAATGTTTCAATGAATTTGTTTCACGTCCTTAATTTTTTGGTCTTGAATTCTTCATCAGACCCTGAACATGGGTTGGGAGATTTTTGCTTGTTACATATTGTGCCTCTTGAGACATGTTGGATTTTCTTGTCATTTTCACACTGCTTTACCAGAATAAACTTGCGGCAAGAACACTGTTGCAAAGAAAGCGTTCTGCTCTGACAGCAGATGCTGTTCATTAGCGTTGCTCAGTTTGGGGACCCAATGCATGCACTGGGAAACTCGCAACAGCAACAATCTGCAGCCAACTGCGTCTGGGCATTTTCCTAATGTGGCTGTTGTCATCATACTAGCTTCTTATATTTGCAGATAGCAACTTGATTTAGAAATACCAAGTGGTAAGGCAAGATAAACACGGCATGGGGCAAAGGCTTATGTAGATACTTGCTCCATCTCACATCCTGCCCTGGTATTCCAGGTAACTGACCACAAGCTATGGCCCATTCTATGCTGTTTACAGAGAATGACAAAAATAGTTTCAGGCCTCTGAAAGCTGTCTCTGTGCCACACGCCCACTGTCCTACCTCCTGACTGAGGCTTCTCTCCAGACCTCAGGAGGCATCAGGCCTGGGTCCTCACACAGACCCAGAGGCACCAGGTCCTGCATGTGCACACTGCCTCCTGCTGCAGAGGCACCAGAGCCCAGGGAGGCACGCAGGCAGGGCCTCAGGATTGGGGTGAAGGCAGGACAGTGGTCAAGGCAGAACCTAATTATAGCAGTAGGAAAGAAGGCGGGAGTATGGGAGAGGGGAGTAATAGGTAAGACTGAACTCAGCTGTTGGAGTTGGGTACAAAATCAGGGTGAGCTCATAAGCATCTGATCTGAATCTAAGTCGTGAATGCCCCAAAGATGTATTGGTCTTCAAGGCTGAGCTGGCGGTGAATCTGGGGTCGGGGAGTTTAATTGACCTGCTGAAGGGCTGGAATGTAGACAGACTCTGCCCCTTTCCAGCTGTGTGCAGGTGAGCAACTTACTTCATCTCTGGGCTTTGCTTTATCCAAGGGGGTGGGCCTAGAAGAGCAACACTCATGGTAGGTGCGTGCCTTCGGATCACTTGGGAGCTTGCAGAAGTCAGGATGCCTGGGCCCCGCCTTGAAGATGGATTCAGGAGGTCTGGGAGGACACCGAGGGGCTGGAGGTTTCCCGGGTTCTGACCCTCACCAGTGTTGGGGAGCCAGGTACTTGCATGATCCACAAGGGATCTTCCAGCTCCAACCCCCTTCTATGCTAAATTTTTCTAAGTCAGGGATAAGAAAGCATGGAAGGTGCGCATTCACCTCATGTGATGATTAGGTGGCATCAGAATCAGACACCATATCAGTCACTTGTTCTAAGAGTTCACCAGTTGGGAGCTTATTCAAAGCCAGTTCTTCATTTGTAAGGCTGTAAACCTGGGCTCAAGTTGACCCCCTTCTGTATTCTCTCCTAGGCAACCTCTCCCTCTCCCATGGTTTAATTACCACCTTCCCAGAGGTCATAAACTAGGGGCCAGAAAGACAAATCCAGGCAGATCACACATGAATTTTATTTAGTCTGCCCAGTAGTTTTTATAAGTCTGAATCTTCCTGGGTCAGACTGGGAAATCTTCTCTAAACGATTTCCTTTCATTCCTTAGCATATGTATTTCTAAACCCTTACACTGACCACGGACCTACCACATCCGTGTATTACACCAGCCGGCTCCCACCCTTTACTTTACTTGCCTACGCCCTGATTTTGGATCAAAGTCAGTCTCTCAACACCTGTCTCCAGCTCAAACCTCTTTCTGAGGAAAAACTTCCTCCGGTTTTCCCTGATACCCTAGATCAAGTCAGGCTTTCATCGTACAGCATGGTGATTGTACCCCTTCTAGACCCAGGCTACACAAGGACAGCTACTATCACTGTCTAGCTTGCTTATTGTATTCTCTTCCAGGCCTAGCACATCCTTGTAACTTAGTAGGTGCACAATAAATGAATGTTGAGGAGAGGAAGAAAGGAAGAAGAAGCAAAGAGTGGAAGGGGAACCAGAAGGGAACACGATTAGCACCTTCCTTCGCTGAAGGGAGGACAAGAGCTGACACATCCCACCCTCCACCCCTAAAATTGAGAAGTCTTGAGGGCACGATTTCTCTCTTAATGTTCTAACCTCAGTAACTTACAAAGAGCATGTGTGCAGTGGAGGTTGTTGAATGAATGAATTTATTCTAAGAACTTCTTGGCCAAAGATATAACCAGCTAGAGAACTACTGTTTTTGCAATAAGCTTTGAGCAACTATTTGACTATTTAGAATATATGCAGATATATAAATGCTGATAAAATTAAAACCCCTGCAAAGATGAAACAATGACCAAAATTCTCACTAAGTTACTCTATTGTTACCACCAGCCAAATCAGATTGGGTTGTGAACTTGCAACCACGAAGTCTCTATTGTCCAAACGTAGTGAAGCTGTCATGCAGCATTTAAAGAAAATGTAATTCTTAAAGTCACAAAACACTTAAAGAAAATGCAATTCATCTACTGGACTAAAATGTAGATTTTGGCTTCACCATCTATAAGTCAGAATGGAGGACACAATTTAAACTTTGGCCATAGAGAGCCTGAAGTTTGGGCCTGACCCACCACTTACCGCATGCGTACCTTTGGGAAACTTGTTCGGCTTCTTCACTTATTTTCTCTCCTGGAAAATGAGAAAGATGAGAGCTGCTTTGCAGGGTTGTTTTGAAAACTGAATACAAAATGTAATGCACCCAGCAGACCCCTGGCCACCAGGCGTTCATCCACGATGGCATTGTTTAAAAGTGCCTCTGCATTTTAATTATTTAAAGGTATTCTGGCTGGGCTCAGGGGCACAAGGAGCTCATGAAATTCTGCTCTCTTGGTGGGAAGAGGTGCTATTTCTTTCCTGTCGGTGCCCTAAAAGAATGAGGAAAGTGGCAGAGTAATAAGAAAGAGAACCAACAAAGAAACAGGGGAAACAAAAAAAGGGGAATTTGGTTCCCACTGGATCTTGGAGTTACTTTGGAGGGAAGGCTTTTCTTTTCCTGCCTCCCTTTACCCCCTCAGGTGTTCATGAGGAAGGCCCTCAGGGAGGGCGGCCAGAGCAGGATCCTCATAGGCACAAGAAGGATCTGGGTTTATCCAGCCTGCTCATCTCGCCAGTGCTTTTTAAAAAATGAAATTCAGCCGGGCCAGTGAGGCTCAGTGGCCGAGTGTTGACCTATGAACCGGGAGGTTGCGGCTCGATTCCAGGTCAGGGCACATGCTTTGGTTGTGGGCTCAATCCCCAGTGCAGGTCGTGCAGGAGGCAGCCAATCAATGATTCTCTCTCGTCATTGATGTTTCTAACTTTCTCTCCCTTCTTCTCTGAAATCAATAAAAATATTTTAAAAAATGAGATCCATATTCAGACAGTTTTTAAAAACAACACTTCATTTCTTATTTCATAGGCAAATCACACTCACTTTAGAAAATTCATGAGCAAAAGGAAGACAAAAGTTATCCCAAATTCCACTGCTAGATAATTGAAACCATTTTGGAATCGATCCTTTTGAAGTTTTTTTCTGGACAATGAGTACGTAAACAAACATGTTCTTGTAAAACCAGTGAGATCGAATGGCACATACCGTTCTACTAGTATAACCCGATACTTTTCACTCCACAGCTTTCCTTCTGTGTCAGTAAATGAACGCATCTAATGTCGCGATGGGTGACCTCAGTGGACACCCAGGTGGCTGCCTCAGGCACGTTCGGTGCTCTCCCTGGGCAGAGACAAGCTTGTGTCTGTCTCCTGGCTGTGAGCAGTGACTCAGTGACCAGCTCCACAGTCAAACCTTGACACGATTGTTCCCTTACAATGAATTCTCACAGCCAATCTTAATTTTCTCAAGAAAAGAAGACAAGACAATGTGATTAAAATGTTTAAATCATAAGTGGCCTCTTTGGCGAAGAGGAGGGGAGAGGCTGGAACTCGGCCTTACACTCTTCATCTTTGATTCTGTTCAACCTCCAAATTGATCTCAAGTGCAACCTCATTCCTAGTCAACAAGCTCAAGAAATAAACAAGACCTGGTACCTGTCCTTAAAGAGATTACACAGTGAAGATAAGAGACAATTATCTCTAATAAATGAATTTTTTTTCCCTCTCATTTAACACAAAAGTACCTGGCTTTTTCTCTCATTTAACACACAAGTACACAAAAGTACTTGGCTTTTCATGATAAGAAGCAAGGGCAAGATGAACATAATAATATTAATCATAGCCAATGTTTGTAAGAACTTACTATGTCTAGGAAGTGTTCGTGTATTAAGTGTTGTATTATATTCATTATTTTAATTCTCACAGTCTCTGAGGTAGTACCGCAGTTATGGACTTTATGTTGTTGTGGAATTGAGGGAAAAGGAAGTTGATTAACTTGCCCAAGGTAACTCAGCTAGTGAGTGGAGGAGCTGGGATTTGATTCCAGGCCCTTTGAGGTCAGTGCTGCTGAAACACACTGTCACTGGGCTGGGAGAACGCGTCCTGCTGACCCGGAATAAGCATTGTGATTGAACCTTCTAGGTACTGCGGCCTGAAAACCCGCTTGCTGACGTCCCCCTTGGTGGGGTTCATGGTGACCAATCAGTGCACCTTCCACGCACCAGTCGGCTTCCCTCAGGTTCCGGTGGCTGCTCTGGCCGTGGAGAAAGTGGGCCACTCCAGTGTGCATTACCGCCTTGCTCTGTTTCCACCCAAGCCCGCCCAGGAGCCGCCCACAGCAGATCACCATGACCTCAGTGACGGCTTTTTCTTTGGCCACCCCAAGCTGGCGCAATTTGACACTTTGGCCTGTACCACTGGGTCCTCGGTCCACGTTTTTGTGAATCCAGCCACCAGCAAGCCCGTGGGCCTCCCAGAACACTTCAGGAGGGGCCTCCTGAGGCTGAGGAGGCTGGCTTCCGTGTGAAGTGTCTGTGTGTGGAATTGTGCCTGTCAAGGAATAAAGTTGAGATTATTCTCTAAACTATTTCCTTTCATTCCTTAGCATATATATTTTTACCCTTAAAAATCACTGCCAATTTCTTAAAAGTTTTTATAACAGTCATCTCCCTCCATTGATGAAGCCTCTCCTTGCAGTAGGCCCAGAACAAAATGCTCACAACCACCCAACGAGGCAGGGACTGCTCTTCCCTCCTTTTTCAGGAGTGGGAAAGAGGTTTGCAGAGTGGAAGTCAACTGGCCTGAAGACATTCAGCTAGTGAGTGCCTTGGACTCAAAAGTCCACCTGGGCATCCTCTCTATGTGCATCAAAATCTCCAACATCTGAGCAGCAGGGGCTACACTTCCGGTGGTTTGTGATCACTTATCTGATAGGATTCATTAATGTCCTCAGCTTCTTATAGTTAACCACATGAATTCCTTTTTTTAAAAGATGTAAATTTTTTTAAAAAACAAACAAACACACCTTTCTTTTATGTATTTAAAACAGCAAACACACCTTTGACAATTTTCTGATAAATCGAAAACCTCCTTCAATCACTTATGCCATGCACTAAAGTTTGAAAGTAGGGACAATTAAATGGAATCTTTGATGCTGAAACACATAAGGACCCTACTTTGGTGTAATAATCATAAAGGGTTACTATTTCTTGAGTGCTGACTACACTCAGTGCTTTACAGTCATTACCTTAGGTAATCCTTATGTTGCCATTTTTCAGATGAGAACATTGAGGCTTCAAAGAGAACAGTGGGAGTTGGGGGAGGAGTTCTAGTCACCTCTGTCTCAATCCTGTGACAAGGAAAAGTTCAGGTTTAATCTCTCCGGGTCCCAGTTTCCTCCTCTGCAAACATGATTCTGAGTGAGCTTTTTCAGTTAGATGCCTGAATGTTTTTTGAACACTCGGAGACTCTTGATCTGCTTTTTCTGAATTCAGTTCCAAATCCTGCCATGAATAAACAGCTTTAGAATACAGTCTCCAAGATAAAAACAATGTTAAATGCTATTCCCTTGTCATTTAATCAATTCAACTTCACCTAGTAATGGATCAATTTTGCGGTTTTAAAAACACTTCACACAATAATTCTGGGACTCAGAAAGACTATTAACCAGCAGCCTAGTGTTTGTACGTATTGATTTATCTGACCTCTGGCATTTGACCTGCTCAAAAAGATTACCAGGGAGAACTCCTTTAATTTGTGTCTCATGTTTCATTTCTCAAAGTTCTTGCACGGCCATGACCTCACCTCATCTTGGTAGCTACTCTGAGAGGTGTCCCCATTTACAGTAAGAATAGGCTCTTCTGCAGGAAGGAGACCTGTCAAGGTCACAGAGCCCCGGGGAGGCAGAACTAGAACTTGCATCCAGCCAGGCTATTGGATCTGTCTTTCCATGCCACCAACTCTCCATCTCATCCAGTGGTCCTGAATTTTCAAATTACAACATGCATTGCCATGAATTTTTAAAATTATAATAACACTAGCTATGGTTTCACCAAGAAGTTCTTAAATTGGAGGCAACATAGTCAGGTAATTAAGAGGGTGGGATCCTCCTGGATCTGACATTTCTAAATAGGGGAACCACTGGTTCCAGTTTTCCCAGGACAGGGCTGCTTGTCCCAGTGTGACGGCAGGCTCACTCCTTTTTCCGTGGGTCCCGAGGTTAGAGTAAAAGTGGAAAAGGTCTATGGGCCATTCCACCATTTTTCTTCCTGCCAAGGGGCTCCATGTGTGTGTGTGAACACTCCAACCTGCATGTTCAAGCTGAGTCCTTTGGGCCTAGGTGTGGCTTTGTCTGCATTTTGGAAAATCCACCTGGGCGGTGCACACACAGGCTCTGGAAGAGGCTTGGGGTTATTTTGGCAGGGAGTTCTGGGTGCTGCAGGGACCTGGAGCGTGATCTAGAGGCAAAGGCCCTGGCTTTGAGTGAGCAAAATGCTTTGGCCCACGCACTCCTTAACCCATGAGGGAGATCCCAGCCAGAAGAGGCTCAGAGTGGGTCTCTGAATCCCAAGGTGGGCAAGGCAGGTTGCCCCAGATTTGGGGAGGTACTGATTAAGACTGTGCCCCTTCACTGGCAAGGATTTTGTGGTCTGGACAATCAATTATATAGTCACCTAATTTGAGTTGTGTAACTTTGGGCATTATTTCCCTTTATAGTTCTCTTACCTGTAAAATGGTGAAAATAGTACAGTTACCACTGTTTACCAGGAATGACATTTTTGTTACACCAAGGTTTTCACCCTGCCCCTCTGAGCAACAGCAGGATGCACTTCCTACTCCCTTGAAGTTAGACGTAGCCACGTGGCTTGCTTTGACCAATGGAAATGAGCATGGGGGACCAAAGTCACTTTCAGGAGTGACTACATTTGATGGTCTGGCTTAATTCTCCAGGGGACATGGGTGGATTGGAGACACACAGCGAGCCCCATGGACAATTGCCCAGAACCACAGCAGACTTGGCAAAAGCAAAAATTAAACCTCGGCTGCTTTAAACCACTGAAATGGTACATTATTTGTTACCGCCACACAAGCCAGCTTACCCTCTTTCTTACAAGTACCAACTTCATAGGCCTGTTGTGAAGGTTATGTGAGAAATGTATGTGAGTACTTGGCCTGGTGCCTGGTGCACAGCTATTTGTATTTATCAGAAAAGAAGTGCTCCCACTCCACAAGTTTCAAGGAAGAAAAGTATTTCATGTGCTTCTGTGGGGAATTGGACACTTTTCTATTTGATGAGGAAAATTAGAGGTATTTACAGCTCACAGAATGGTGGGTATCCCCCAGCCCTGGACCCCAGAACTGACCAGAATTAAGAGTGACAATAGACTCTGAATATATCTCCAAATTCATATAAATCTTACTACTCTAAATACTGATGACACAATCTTTCCACTTCTCAGGTTTTTAATACTTCCGTGTGAGCTACAGCAGTGAGCATGATGGCACTTAATGGTTTTTAGTGGGAAATTCTAACACTATAAACTCAGTTTTAAGACTACAGAGAGAGCCAAATCTAGGTCAGTAATGGCGAACCTTTTGAGCTTGGCGTGTCAGCATTTTGAAAAACCCTAACTTAACTCTGGTGCCGTGTCACATATAGAATTTTTTTGATATTTGCAACCATAGTAAAACAAAGATTTATATTTTTGATATTTATTTTATATATTTAAATGCCATTTAACAAAGAAAAATCAACCAAAAAAATGAGTTCGCGTGTCACCTCTGATACGCGTGTCATAGGTTCGCCATCACTGATCTAGGTGCACGTACTAGGAAAAAGCCAGGTTTTATTAGAAAGATGGCGAAATGAATCTAGAGAAACTTAAAAAAAAACCCAGCCAGCTATTCACTACTTTACAATGTTTTAGAGCCGAGCTAACAAGTAGCCACGTGTCTGCTGTTTGCTGGGCACTTCTGAGCAGGTATGATTCGTGCCATTGCTAACAAGAAACAGCTATGATAATCCAAGCGGGTGAAGAAAACCTTCAGGTGTTGCTGACTTTCTAACTACATTTTCGTTACACTCGAATTCATTCAAAAACCTACATTAAGAGACACGAGGTACAAAATGTGTTCATGTTTTGCTTGGACAGATTTTGGCTCCTAGCAATTAATGCTTTCAGTCCCATTAAGCATATAAATAATGCTTTGTGACATTACAGTATTTCTCATTACAGATCGATTTTGTAGCATTTGTTCATAATCAGACTTGAAATGTTACCTAGAAACAAAATATGTTTTCCTTGAAACAGTCAGACCCTATTAGAAATCTAAGGCTTTACAAATCACCATGTTAACAGCTATGTCCCCTAGCTACGATTTTCTTTCCTTAAATAGTGTTAAATTCAGCCCCAGAAGCCCTGGTTTCTTTGAGGTTCTCTTCTTATGTGCACTGACTTGAAAGGAAAAACTTAGTGCTCAAACTATATTTAACATCTTACTGTGTATAACTTAATAAATCAACCGATATTCCCTTTTGGGGGAAAAAGAATGTTAGCACCTTTTTAAAGTGTTATGCTTATAATTAGGTTACACAGAATTTCTAATTTTTTTAAAGACAGGTTTTCACTGCTTAAAAAGAAAAATGTTGTCAGCCTGTTTCTAGGTAGGAGGAGCTATTTTCATTTCCTGACCGTGTAATCATGTACTGTGGGAGAGCAGAGAAATAAAGAAAACCTATGTCAGATTGGCGATTTGGAGCAGTGAAACTTAGTGCTAAACACCTACAAGAAGAGACATGAGGTACAAAATGTGTTCATGCTTTGCTTGGACAGATTTCGGCTCCTAACAATTAATGCTTTCAGTGCCATTAAGCATATAAATAATGCTTTGTGACATCACAGTATTTCTCATTACAGAGATCTTGAAGACAGGAACATCTGGATTTGAATTTTGTCCCTGCCATCTAATCACTGTGGAATCTTGGACAAAATTACTTATATTCTCATTCAGCACATGTTCACTGTTTATTTTATATTTTCCAGAATAATTTCTTCCCCTGACATATATTCTCTGATTAAAGCTAACAACCTCTCATTCTTCAGCAAATACTTGGAGTACTTATTATAGGCTTGGCTCTCATGTTCCAAATTCCTGGAAATAGGAGTAAATTAGATGGACCAGACTCTATTGTTCTCTCAAAGCTCATAATTCTAACTTGGGGAAGATGAACAATATACAAACAAGATAATGTCAAGTGTTATAGTTGGTTGAATGGTGGTCCCCAAGACATGTCTACCTCCTAGCCTGGAATTTGTGAATATGAACATATATCCCTGTCGTTAAGTGGGCACATGGTCTTTGCAGCTGTAACTAAGTTAAGGATCTCAGGATGAGGAGAGGAAGGAAGCAAGGAGAGATTCTCCTAGGGCCTCTTTGATGTCACTCTGGCCTCTAGAACTGAGAGAATGAGCTTCTTTGGTTGTCTGTTAGCCATTCACTTTGTGTAATTTGTACAGCAGCCCTAGGAAACAAATATCAATGGAAATCTGTATAAAAAAAAAATGAAACAGAAATGAG